CGAGCGCCGCGGCCGCAGTAATGCGGCCCGAGCTGCAGCCCCAGGGAAATGCCTTCCTGCTCGGGGGAGGACGTTCCAGTTTTTAAAATTCTTCCTGTAAAAGCTTGTGCATTTGATTAGACGTGTGCAGCGTGGGAAGAACATTCAGGTCAAAGCTCATGAGGCAGCTTTAGTTTTAAAGATAGCCAACTTTGTGCAGGAAATTTGGGAAGGCTTCCTGATGATTTGGCGGTAGCAAGTAGTGTCTTCTGGTTTCGTAAGGGCTTGTCCTGACACTGCAGGTCAGTGTTCCTGTCCCTAGGAGCAGATTAATAAAATCGCGAGACATCTGCTTTGCAGGAGGTGATTTTGCCTTATCTTGGCTGGGGCCAGGCTGCAAACGGACTTTAGAGCTGTCACTGTGACCCTGCAGGGTGCGGAGGCTGATGTGGCAGCAGTGGCAGCCCCAGCGAGGTGGGGAGGAAGGAACTCGCAGCGGGTTAGAGGCTGTTTCGCCCTGCCGAGATGAGCCCTTCAGGAGGAGGAATGTGGGACTCGAAGGGGCCTGTTTCTAAAATGAGTGTCTCCCACAGGAATGCTGCGGAAGCTGGAAATCCAGAAGGAGGAAGACCTGGAATCTGTGTCCGAGGTGGCCGCCCAAGTTTTCAGTGATGGAGTAACAAACTGGGGCAGAGTTGTGACACTCATCTCGTTTGGTGCCTTCGTTGCAAAACACCTGAAGAGCATCAACCAGGAGAGCTGCATCCCCTCGCTGGCAGGGATCATCACAGATGCTCTCGTCTCGTCCAAACGAGAGTGGCTGCTGAGCCAAGGAGGCTGGGTGAGTCACTGCCTGTCCTGAACATTGTGGCCCTCTAAAGCAATCCAGTATTTTCCTATTTCCATAACCAGCCTGGTGACAACCGCATGTGTCAGTGGAGCGCACGGCATGAGTCACTGCTCTGCTGAAACCCCTGTCTAGAGGCCTAGTCAGAGCCGTGGCGTTTGAGCAGCTCCCGGGGTCAAACTGCTTCGAGCAGTTTAGACACACAGTGCGGGGGTAGCAGTGTCCCCACAGCCACTATGGGGCTGCCCCCAATTTCTGCCTCCGCTCGGTGGCCTCGGGGCAGCCCTGCTGCTGTGACGAGCCTGGCAGAGCCCAGTGAGCACCCCCGGCGCGTGCCTGGCCGCGGGAAAGCCAAAGGGCTTCGTGCTGCGGAGACCGTGTGGCTGGCAGGAGAAATGACTGTCCGTTCTTTTTCCTAGGAGGGTTTTGTTGAATTCTTTCGAGTAGAGGACGTAGAAGGAAGCATCAGAAATGTCCTGATGGCTTTCGCAGGGTTTGCTGGACTGGGAGCAAGTCTGGCCTACATGATCCGGTGAGCCCGGCCATGGGATGGCAGAACTCCCAGCGCCGGCTCCGCTCGGAGCTCGCGAGCCGACGCTTCCTCCTGTGAGTACTTCGAAGCTGCCCTGGTGACCCAAGGAGAACATCTAGGCATCCTCTGAGCAATTCTTTCCTGAGAAAGAAGGCGTGATCCAGTCAGATTTGGGCACTACAGAGGATTTATTGCTTTGGGAACAGCAAGTGAAGCCTCGGTGTTCTGCTTCCTTCAAGAGCACCACAAAGAGAGCTCAGAGCTTCAGAGTTTTACTGCCAAGGGAACGGATCTGCCCAGCAAGCCAGGAGCACCAGCAGCTTCATCCCGGCCTGCCGGCTCCGACTGCGCGTGCAGGGGCTGTTTCAGAGCGGCTTTCTGGAAACAGCATCTTCTGCTGTCGCTGTCCTGCCTCGGCTCGTGGCTCCTCCCGCCCCTGGAACAGAAGCATTAAGTGCCAGGTGTCCTGTGGCTGTGCCCAGGTGCGCCGGCGCGGGGCGAAACCGCTGCCACCCGGCAGCTGCGCGCGGGGACGGGACGAGGACCCGCTCGGAGCACGTGCAGCCCGTCCCCTCCAGCAGGACACGTCTGCCCAGCTGCCCGAGCAGCGCCGGGCTGGAGCAGTCACATAAACAAGTGCCACGGCCACCAGCAGCTTGGGGACACAGCCCCCGGGGCAGGACAAGGGGCCGGCAGCGCGGGGTGGCCTGGGGACGGTCACCGCAAGCAGCTGCGGCTCCTCCAGGCTCGTGTCCCACTGGTCTCGGCGACGTCGCTGCGCTGTGCGCGGGGTCGAAACAGGGAGTGCATTTGTCCGTATGTAAAACCCCACACACCCCGTGGGGAGGCGGTAAAGAAACCACTGTAAATAACTAAAGCTGTAGCATACGTACATTTTTTTACAGAGATAAAGATGTAAAAAGGGACATTTGAATGTGATGGGAGTCACTTGCAGGTGTCCCTTCATCCTCCTGTGAGACAGCGTATTTTGGGGGCAGAGCCTTCTCCTGCCTTGACTTCACCCTTTCCAATGTACTCTAGCAGACTGGCCAAGGAAGCGCAGCGAGGACCAGCGGCCTGGGGGTTTATCGTGCCCATGGCTTGCTGGCAACAGTTCTTGTTTCTGTTTGTTTTAATCTTGTTTTGGTTGTTGTAGCGTGGGTGGGGATTGTGGAAGCTGGTATCAGTTAACTTCCTTTTCTTCACTTTATTTTGATCCTTTCTGCCGTGAATCAAGTGAAGCCACTATTAGAATGTAACGTTCTGGAGCAGAATAAAACTCCTGGGATGTGATCCGCGCTCGGTGCGAGTCCCTCAATCCCTGCGCTAGGTCAGTCCTCTGCTCTCTTGCTAGAAGCATCACCCATAGCCCATCTTGTGCTATTCTCCTTTGTACACTCAAACTGAGCAAATCAGTTGTGTTTTTTTTTTCCCTTTTTCTCCTTTCTTTGGTGAAAGCTCCCACGATACCAGGCCCCAGCATGACTAGAATGTTCCTGTGCCCTGTGCAGACCTCAGACCAAGCGATGCCTAATGGAAACGCCACATAAACCCAAGCGGAGAACTTAAACATGGTGCTATTGTCAGGCCCGCCGAAACGAGCGGGTGCTTTTGTCAATAAATGTCTTTGTTCTCAAGCTTCCAGTATTGAAAACTGTTTCCTGTAACGCGGTGCTGATGCGGTACCTGCTCGGCACCCGGCCCTTCCCAAGAGGAGACCCTGCGGGTGCAGGGGACGGGGGCAGCGACTGCTTTTTGGGGTGAAAAACCTCCCTGGATTCCTCTTAACATCCAAAGGAGGCCAAATCCTCCCCTTCAACCAAAGCTCCTCTGCTTTAAACAGGGACTAAAAGTGCCCTGGCAGCTTCACCCCATGGGATGTCTGGAAAAGGGGACCCCAGGGAGTGCTTCCAGCAGGGGAAAACGTGCAGGGCTGCGGCCTCGCTGCTGCTCCCTTGCTGCGTCCTCCTTTTCTCAAGCTATTTTGGGCCTGCTGGGCTCTTCAGTCTTGCTGCCGCTGAGGCCCTGCATGCAAAGCTGGGCCTTTGCCATGGAAATATGCAAAGAGCTGCTCCGGGGCTGCGTTTTGGGTGTAAAGGGTGTCAAAGTGGGTTTCTGCTTCCTGGTAATGCTATCTGCTGTGAAACCGAGCCGATAGCGCCGTGCGCGGCGCCGATAACCCCAGCTGGCTTCCTGTTCTGCTTAAACAGGGGCTTTTCAGAGTAAAGAGAAAAAAACACTGCGGGGTTTCAGATTCTTGGAAATGCTTGCATTTGAAAAGGGGAAATTAAAGCAACCGTTATGGAAGCGGGTGCATCGTTGTAACCCTGACCTTTGGGAGCCTCCTGCAATTGAGGTGCTGCACAGAAACCCTTTGGTGAAGTTTTACCCCCCGAAAGAGCGAATAACGCTGGAAAAGCCGCCGTGCTCTTGCTTTGCACCCTCTCCCCCATCGGCCTGTCGC